TTCCCTTTTATTGAAAGTCAGGAAAACACTATCGTGGAGTTTTTCTTTTGCTATTTAAACAAATGGGAATGCAAACAATATATTTGTGGTACTCTCCCATTCACCGCTTTTCAAGTTAACCCAACTATGACGACTTACGCTGCTGAGAAACCCGGAAATGTGAAAACGGTCCATCATTAAGATGGCTTGAGAAAGCCAACTTACTGATCTACTATTTAATCTTCTTCTTCTATTTCTGAGCCAAAATTTGAACTGCATCTCCTCCTAGACCGTTAAAGTTACAACCACCAAATTCGGGTCAGACCTTCAGACTGGTTTGAAGTTAGTTGCTAGCACTTTTCTAACTGATCCGACTTCCGGTTTTCGTAAACCAGACTATCAAAACCACCCGAAATCCCATAGACTTTCATTGAGGAGGTGAAAACTTTTGTACAATGAGACTTATGGTGTATTTAAGCTGTCTAATGCTATAGCAAAGCTGAACAACTCCCTACTGAAAAAACAGCTAAAACCAGTCTAAGCTGGTGGGATGCTTTGGCTGGTCTCCCATGCTGGTTTTAAAGTGGTTTTGGCACCTTTTGAGCTGGTCAGGCTGGTCTTGCTAATCATGCTAACAACATGCTAGTAACTTGCTAAGCATGGTAACAACATTCAGACTTTAATCTTTCAAACTATTTAAAACTGAAAACTATCTCAAACTGAAAACCATCAAACTTTTACAACTTTTTAAAAACTTTTAAACTTTTAAAACTTTCTGGCCTGGCTTTCTCAATCCAACTTCAAAGTTTGTCTACGAACTTTACTATCTAGTTATTTTTACAATACTTTTTGGTGACAATAGTGGCACAGGAATTAAACCTCACCTTTAAAAGTTTGGAACAAAAACAAGCCGAATTTCGACCCTCTGCTTTAAACTCTTTGTCTGTACATAAGAGATTCTTTGACATATTCAGCCATCCTTGGTTTAGTTAATAAATAAATACATAAATATAAAAAAAATAAATAGTTTATTTGTTATTGAAGGGATAGTTAACCCAAAGTTCTGTCATCATTTACTCATTCCAAATCTGCAAATCTTTCTTCTTTGGAATACAAAATATTAAGATGATTTGAAAAAAATATTTCTGTTTTTCCCCCATCCATACAGTGACAATTGGTGGGGTTCAGTGTTTCTATGGACCCCAAAGACTTTCTTTTTTGTGTACAAAAGCAGTTGAAACATTGTTCAATAAATCTTCTTGTGGTCTGTAGCAGAAAGAGAGTCATACAGGCTTGGTATGAGGGTGAGTGATGACAGAATGGGTGTTTCGGGGGAACTATCCCTTTAATATCTTATATTAACTTAATTCAACATGATATATCTACTAACAGTAACCAAGAGGAAGAAAATCATGCAAAAATGTGACATGAAGAAGAACATGATAGAAGATATGAAATGTTCTGTTTCTTTGCTCCTAGGTGGATTCTGGACTATACTATGATGCCTGTGTAAAGGACACCTGTGCATGTGACACTGGGGGTGACTGTGATTGTTTCTGTACTGCAGTGGCAGCTTACGCTGCTGAATGCCGTAAAAAAGAAGCTTGTGTGGCATGGCGAAGCCCAAGCATATGCCGTAAGTCCTAATATTTCCTAAATGTCAGTTAATATTTTACTATTGCCTTTAACCCTCAAGCATCCTTCAGAACAAATGTGGGCAAAATCTTGTTTTGTTTTTTTTTCAAATAGTTTCCTTAAAGGGACAATATGTAATTTTTCGCTGCTAGAGGGCATATTCAAAACAAACAAAGAATCAAAGGTAGTAGTTTGATGACGCCGTGTGAAATCATGGGAGTTGTCGTCTTCATCCCGACTTTCCCATTTTCATCCCATTATATATATATTTTTAATGTGCCAATCAGCCACTGTGCGCGCGCACACACACACACACACACACACACACTCAAAGTCAGATCAATGTCCTACTGCAAGATTTGTTGATGATTCCAAACAAAACATATCTGAAACATGCTACTTGCTAGGTTTATCGTTTATTCTTTCCTGTTTGGTACCATTTGGTACCATTTTACTTTTTTAGATGAATTGAAATTAGATTTTTTTTTTGTTAGAAATAAATGATTACTGTGTCCTCTACTTTGTCTTTTCCTTATAGCATGGTCAGATTTATCGGTAACACTTTCCTGTGATTTATCGGTCCTTGTTACACATTTTACATGTACTTATTATTATAATAATTAATTATGCATAATTACATACAAGTAACCCTAAATCAAACCCTAATCCTAACCATAACCATATAGTAAGTACATGTAGTTAATTAATATTACTCAGTGCTTAAATGTATAATTACACTGTAACAAGGACACCTTAAAATAAAGCGTAATCGATTTGTCAGTATTCTGTAAGCATATTTTGGCATATTTGTATAGTCTCACCCAACACATTTTTTTTTTAATTCTACAATTTTAACTTGTGATAAAATCTAAAACTTAAGAGTTTAAGCTCGTTAAAACAATGGTTTATATAGATTTCAGCCTATATGCAGCCATTGAGTACTACAGCCAAATAGTGGCTATTGATATTTTTGATATTTTTATACGATCATGTGTCACCATTTGTCACCAAAGTCACCAAATGTTTAGGTTTAGGTTGTCTGGACTTACTGGAATAAGTTTTGTTTGTTTTTTTCAGTAGGCCTAATATTTAACAGAACAAAAAATAAGCATATTTTACATAAAAATATGGTACATTTAGAGGTAAATAAATAAAACAAAAAACACAAAAAATCACAAAAAATTGCATAAATTGATCGTTTTTATTGATCGAAGCTAGTGATATGACATTTATTTAAAAAACAAAACTGAGATCTTCGTGCCCAAATTTGTCCACGAAGGACCAATTACGGGCTGATATACGAAGGATGCTTGAGGGTTAAACATACACAACACACTATATGTAAGTGTTTATTTTTCTCTTCTACAAATTGGAACAGTTAGTTCACCCAAAAATGAAAATTCTATCATTAATTACTCACCCTCATGTCGTTCCAAATAGGGCTAAAACGATTAGTCTACATTATCGACAAAAAAAAATTGTCTACAAATATTTTTGTTGTCGAGTAGTCATTTGATCTCATATGACCTAATGTAAGAGCCTACAATAATGCGGTTTGACCAGTGTGGCGCTGTAGCGCAAGACTATAATTCAGCCCTCCTGATGCAATTCAAGAGAAGACACAGCGCTTCAGAGCAAACGGAGCAGAACCGAAGCTGAAGCTGCTGAGCGAAGTTTGGATGATTATGTAAACATATGCTGCGCGCTTTCCTCTCAATAACAAAATAAACACATCAAAAACTGACAGCGATGTTAAATCAGCAGTTAAAAACGCATCTGATTAGCGATGTGGATGTTTGCACGAGCTCTGCAGTTCGGTACTCCAGTAAAGTCCAGTCACGTCACATTTATTTATATAGTACTTTATGCAATAGATAGCCTTAAATCAAGCAGCTTTACAGTATTAAACATGAAAAACCAGAGTCAGTGTCGCTTTCAGTTAGAATTACAGCTTGATTTTCTGTTATAAATCAGCTCTCCAGTGTAGAGCTAGCTAATGATAAAATATTTTTATTAGTGGGAAAAAATATATATTATTTCATTAAAGTGATAGTTTGGTTTGCAGAGATCAAAAATGAATATAGCTCAGGACGGTTTGATTATCATAACCCTATAAGGTATTTTAAGAGAGATTATGTTGTGAATAAAATAGTTTATCCAAAAATAAAACGGCTTATCACTTACCTTTATCTTGTTTCTTATCCATATGACTTACAAAAGGAGAAGTCAGGCAGAATTATGTAATTCAGTGACTTTTTCATATGGCTAATTAAATGGTGAATGAGAGAGTTTCTCTGTCTGTCATCTCATTTTGTGCCAAATATATTTATTTGTATAAATTAATTGTAAAATAATAATTAAATTTTATAATAAAATGTTCAAAAGCTGAAGTGATTACCTTTATTTATTTGTTAGAATATGTATAACTTAATATTTTAACTAATTGCAAAAACTGAATAGTCAATCAAAGTCTACTGATTAATCAGTGAAATAATCGATGATTAGTCGATTAATCGTATTAATAATTGTTAGTTTAATCGATTATCAAAATAATCGTTTGTTGCAGCCCTAGTTCCAAATCTGTAAGACCTTTGTTCATCTTCGGAACACAAATTAAGATATTTTTGATGAAATCTGAGAGCTTTCTGACCCTGCATAGACAGCAACACAACTGAAATGTTCCCAGGCCCAGAAACGTAGTAATTACATACTGCAAGATTTGTTGATGATTCCAAACAAAACATATCTGAAACATGCTACTTGCTAGGTTTATCGTTTATTCTTTCCTGTTTGGTACCATTTGGTACCATTTTACTTTTTTAGATGAATTGAAATTAGATTTTTTTTTTGTTAGAAATAAATGATTACTGTGTCCTCTACTTTGTCTTTTCCTTATAGCATGGTCAGATTTATCGGTAACACTTTCCTGTGATTTATCGGTCCTTGTTACACATTTTACATGTACTTATTATTATAATAATTAATTATGCATAATTACATACAAGTAACCCTAAATCAAACCCTAATCCTAACCATAACCATATAGTAAGTACATGTAGTTAATTAATATTACTCAGTGCTTAAATGTATAATTACACTGTAACAAGGACACCTTAAAATAAAGCGTAATCGATTTGTCAGTATTCTGTAAGCATATTTTGGCATATTTGTATAGTCTCACCCAACACATTTTTTTTTTAATTCTACAATTTTAACTTGTGATAAAATCTAAAACTTAAGAGTTTAAGCTCGTTAAAACAATGGTTTATATAGAGGAACACAAATTAAGATATTTTTGATGAAATCTGAGAGCTTTCTGACCCTGCATAGACAGCAACACAACTGAAATGTTCCCAGGCCCAGAAACGTAGTAATTACATAGGTAAAATAATTCATGTGACATCAGTGGTTCAAAAGTAATTTTACAAAGCTACGAGAATACTTTATTTGCGCAAAGAAAGCAAAAATAACAACTTTATTCAACAATATTTCTCCCCCGAGTTACCATCTTCCACCATTATCGAGAGTACCACGACGTATGCTCATACGTTCCTCTGCTTGTAAACAAGCCACAACGCATGCTTGTTCTACGACAGCAGCACCACACGCATACGTCGTGGTACTCTCCATAATGGTGGAAGATTGTAACTCAGGGGAGAAGAATTGTTGAATAAAGTCGTTATTTTTGTTTTCTTTGCACACAAAAAGTATTCTTGTAGCTTCATAACATTACAGTTGAACCACAGATGTCACGTGAATTATTTTACCGATGTCCTTACTACGTTGATTTGTCAGTATTCTGTAAGCATATTTTGGCATATTTGTATAGTCTCACCCAACACATTTTTTTTTTAATTCTACAATTTTAACTTGTGATAAAATCTAAAACTTAAGAGTAGATGTCACATGAATTATTTTACCGATGTCCTTACTACGTTTCTGGGCCTGGGAACATTTCTGTTGCGTTGCTGTCTGTGGAGGGTCAGAAAGGATTTCATCAAAAATATCTTAATTTGTGATCAGAAGATGAAAGAAGGTCTTACGGGTTTGGAACGAAATGAGGGTGAGTGATTAATGACAGAATGTTCATTATTGGGTGAACTAACACTTTAAATAAACTTCTTTGATTTGATGTCTACTATAAATATTTTCATTGTACTGACACAAGTGGTTGTTTTTGCAGCCTTATTCTGTGACTACTACAACCCTCCGGGAAAATGTGAGTGGCACTATAAATCCTGTGGACAACCCTGCCTGAAAACCTGCAAAAACCCCTCAGGAACTTGCTCTGATCAAATTCCTCTACTTGAAGGTTGGTGTAATTTTTTTTAATACTCTGTCTGTTTTATAGACTGTACCAAAGCTTGCAGACTTCATGAAGGCTAAAAAAAGATGAATTTGCTGACGTTGCTAACTTGTTAACATCAAATTATATTTTAAGGACCCTATTTGTCTGTTTACTTACATTTACTGTTTGCCTTAACTTTAAGCACAAAATTCAGTGGTTGACATTTGTTTTATGAGAAAAAAGTTACACCAATCATATTTCTATAATTTGTACATTACATACAAAACAATACTAAATCAAAATGGGATTTCTTTCCTACATTTTGCACTGGTGATGCACTGACAAGGCATATATATATATATATATATATATTTTTAATGCCTCGAGGCCTGTTTCATAAAACAAGTTAACCAAATAAGCCAGGCTTATTTCAGTTAGTTAGACTCATTGTCAAATGATTTGGTTCCATAAAGCAAATTTAACATGGGCCTAGATCAAGCTAGTCATTGTGTCAACTTATGCTGGGAAACTGACCTGGTCTTAAGCAGGGTAACTGTCAGGCTAAGCTAAGTTCCTTTAACACGGACCAATAGGAACCCAATGATATTACCACTGACTCTCTCACATACTATTATTTGACTTTTTTTTTTTTTACAGTTTCTAGCCATGCAGCCTTTCTCTCTGGTTTTATTACAGCTGTACCTTTTATAGTTTGCAGAACAGATAGCAGAACATTAGAACATTACAATCTAAAATTGCTCTTTAAAGCATTAAAATAACTAAATTAAAAGTTAAAATCACTGAATTAAAAATGAAAATAAATAATAAATAAAATGACTATATTTTAACTGCTATAAGAAACACACATTAACTCATTTGAGCTTAGTAATTCATTAGTACTGTACTAGCTTACATTTGATTTACCTATTATTACAATACAATATTATTACATATTAAATATGTTAGAAACGATGCATCGCGATATAAGTGCCAACTTGTAGCCGATGCACACTTTTTAAACCGATGCATCGCATCATTAACTTTTTATGCCGATGCGCCGAGCGAATCTGGGAATCTTCCCATCCCTAATATATATATATATTTGCCTTGTCTGTGCATCACCAAAATTATTTTCTTAATTATTTGCACAGGATGTTTTCCTCAGTGCCCTCCAGACACTCCATATCTATTGGATGAAACCATGACTTGTGTTAAAGAATGTTACACTACTACGACTACAATAACTACTACCACTACTACTGTAACACCACCATCTACAACTACTACAGTGTCAACCACAACTCCTACAACAACTACCACGACTACTATAACACCACCGTCTACAACAACAGGAACATCTACTGCTAGCTCTACTACTACTACAGTGTCAACCACAACTCCTACAACAAGTACCACTACTACTGTAACACCACCATCTACAACAACAGAAACATCTACTGCTAGCTCTACAGCTACCACAGTGTCACCACAGTGTCGCCATGATCAGCTAATGCGTGTAGAATGTTGCAACACAATAACAAACACTACAACTCCCACAATACCTACTAGCACTACTACTGTAACATCACCATCTACAACAAAAGGAACATCTACTACTACCTCTACAACTACTAAAACAACTAAAAGACCTTTGTGTCAATGGTCAGAGTGGTTTGACAACAGCCGAGCCAGCAAAGATGACAAAGGAGTGGAAATTGAATCCATCGGAAAATTGAGGAATGAGAAAAAAATATCCTGTGATATACCAGAAGAAATTGAATGCATGACAAATTATAATAAAAGAAACTTCACAGGCAATAACTGGAAATATAATCAAGTAGTGTCGTGCAATACGTCTTATGGACTGTTTTGTTCAAACAAAGAAAATTCATTTAAATTTTGCCATAATCATCTAATTCGTGTAAAATGTTGCAACACAATAACATACACTAAAACTCCCACAATTCCTACTACCACTAGTACTGTAACACCACCATCTACAACAACAGGAACATCTACTACTACCTCTACAACTACTAAACAAACTAAAATACCTTTGTGTCAATGGTCAGAGTGGTTTGACAACAGCCGAGCCAGAACAGATGGCCAAGGACAGGAAATTGAAAAAAAAATATCCTGTGAGACACCAAACAGAACTGAATGCATGACACCACCATCTACAACAACAGAAACATCTACTGTTAGCTCTACAACAACTACAGTGTCAACCACAACTCCTACAACAACTACCACGACTACTGTAACACCACCATCTACAACAACAGGAACATCTACTGCTAGCTCTACAACAACTACACTGTCAAACACAACTCCTACAACAACTACCACGACTACTGTAACACCACCATCTACAACAACAGGAACATCTACTGCTAGCTCTACAACAACTACACTGTCAAACACAACTCCTACAACAACTACCACGACTACTGTAACACCACCATCTACAACAACAGGAACATCTACTGCTAGCTCTACAACAACTACACTGTCAAACACAACTCCTACAACAACTACCACGACTACTGTAACACCACCATCTACAACAAAAGGAACATCTACTGCTAGCTCTACAAAAACTACACTGTCAACCACAACTCCTACAACAACTACCACGACTACTGTAACACCACCGTCTACAACAACAGAAACCTCTACTGTTAGCTTTACAACAACTACAGTGTCAACCACGACTCCTACAACAACTCCCACTACTACTGTAACACCACCGTCTACAACAACAGAAACCTCTACTGTTAGCTTTACAACAACTACAGTGTCAACCACGACTCCTACAACAACTCCCACTACTACTGTAACACCACCGTCTACAACAACAGAAACCTCTACTGTTAGCTTTACAACAACTACAGTGTCAACCACGACTCCTACAACAACTCCCACTACTACTGTAACACCACCGTCTACAACAACAGAAACCTCTACTGTTAGCTTTACAACAACTACAGTGTCAACCACGACTCCTACAACAACTCCCACTACTACTGTAACACCACCGTCTACAACAACAGAAACCTCTACTGTTAGCTTTACAACAACTACAGTGTCAACCACGACTCCTACAACAACTCCCACTACTACTGTAACACCACCGTCTACAACAACAGAAACCTCTACTGTTAGCTTTACAACAACTACAGTGTCAACCACGACTCCTACAACAACTCCCACTACTACTGTAACACCACCGTCTACAACAACAGAAACCTCTACTGTTAGCTTTACAACAACTACAGTGTCAACCACGACTCCTACAACAACTCCCACTACTACTGTAACACCACCGTCTACAACAACAGAAACCTCTACTGTTAGCTTTACAACAACTACAGTGTCAACCACGACTCCTACAACAACTCCCACTACTACTGTAACACCACCGTCTACAACAACAGAAACCTCTACTGTTAGCTTTACAACAACTACAGTGTCAACCACGACTCCTACAACAACTCCCACTACTACTGTAACACCACCGTCTACAACAACAGAAACCTCTACTGTTAGCTTTACAACAACTACAGTGTCAACCACGACTCCTACAACAACTCCCACTACTACTGTAACACCACCGTCTACAACAACAGAAACCTCTACTGTTAGCTTTACAACAACTACAGTGTCAACCACGACTCCTACAACAACTCCCACTACTACTGTAACACCACCGTCTACAACAACAGAAACCTCTACTGTTAGCTTTACAACAACTACAGTGTCAACCACGACTCCTACAACAACTCCCACTACTACTGTAACACCACCGTCTACAACAACAGAAACCTCTACTGTTAGCTTTACAACAACTACAGTGTCAACCACGACTCCTACAACAACTCCCACTACTACTGTAACACCACCGTCTACAACAACAGAAACCTCTACTGTTAGCTTTACAACAACTACAGTGTCAACCACGACTCCTACAACAACTCCCACTACTACTGTAACACCACCGTCTACAACAACAGAAACCTCTACTGTTAGCTTTACAACAACTACAGTGTCAACCACGACTCCTACAACAACTCCCACTACTACTGTAACACCACCGTCTACAACAACAGAAACCTCTACTGTTAGCTTTACAACAACTACAGTGTCAACCACGACTCCTACAACAACTCCCACTACTACTGTAACACCACCGTCTACAACAACAGAAACCTCTACTGTTAGCTTTACAACAACTACAGTGTCAACCACGACTCCTACAACAACTCCCACTACTACTGTAACACCACCGTCTACAACAACAGAAACCTCTACTGTTAGCTTTACAACAACTACAGTGTCAACCACGACTCCTACAACAACTCCCACTACTACTGTAACACCACCGTCTACAACAACAGAAACCTCTACTGTTAGCTTTACAACAACTACAGTGTCAACCACGACTCCTACAACAACTCCCACTACTACTGTAACACCACCGTCTACAACAACAGAAACCTCTACTGTTAGCTTTACAACAACTACAGTGTCAACCACGACTCCTACAACAACTCCCACTACTACTGTAACACCACCGTCTACAACAACAGAAACCTCTACTGTTAGCTTTACAACAACTACAGTGTCAACCACGACTCCTACAACAACTCCCACTACTACTGTAACACCACCGTCTACAACAACAGAAACCTCTACTGTTAGCTTTACAACAACTACAGTGTCAACCACGACTCCTACAACAACTCCCACTACTACTGTAACACCACCGTCTACAACAACAGAAACCTCTACTGTTAGCTTTACAACAACTACAGTGTCAACCACGACTCCTACAACAACTCCCACTACTACTGTAACACCACCGTCTACAACAACAGAAACCTCTACTGTTAGCTTTACAACAACTACAGTGTCAACCACGACTCCTACAACAACTCCCACTACTACTGTAACACCACCGTCTACAACAACAGAAACCTCTACTGTTAGCTTTACAACAACTACAGTGTCAACCACGACTCCTACAACAACTCCCACTACTACTGTAACACCACCGTCTACAACAACAGAAACCTCTACTGTTAGCTTTACAACAACTACAGTGTCAACCACGACTCCTACAACAACTCCCACTACTACTGTAACACCACCGTCTACAACAACAGAAACCTCTACTGTTAGCTTTACAACAACTACAGTGTCAACCACGACTCCTACAACAACTCCCACTACTACTGTAACACCACCGTCTACAACAACAGAAACCTCTACTGTTAGCTTTACAACAACTACAGTGTCAACCACGACTCCTACAACAACTCCCACTACTACTGTAACACCACCGTCTACAACAACAGAAACCTCTACTGTTAGCTTTACAACAACTACAGTGTCAACCACGACTCCTACAACAACTCCCACTACTACTGTAACACCACCGTCTACAACAACAGAAACCTCTACTGTTAGCTTTACAACAACTACAGTGTCAACCACGACTCCTACAACAACTCCCACTACTACTGTAACACCACCGTCTACAACAACAGAAACCTCTACTGTTAGCTTTACAACAACTACAGTGTCAACCACGACTCCTACAACAACTCCCACTACTACTGTAACACCACCGTCTACAACAACAGAAACCTCTACTGTTAGCTTTACAACAACTACAGTGTCAACCACGACTCCTACAACAACTCCCACTACTACTGTAACACCACCGTCTACAACAACAGAAACCTCTACTGTTAGCTTTACAACAACTACAGTGTCAACCACGACTCCTACAACAACTCCCACTACTACTGTAACACCACCGTCTACAACAACAGAAACCTCTACTGTTAGCTTTACAACAACTACAGTGTCAACCACGACTCCTACAACAACTCCCACTACTACTGTAACACCACCGTCTACAACAACAGAAACCTCTACTGTTAGCTTTACAACAACTACAGTGTCAACCACGACTCCTACAACAACTCCCACTACTACTGTAACACCACCGTCTACAACAACAGAAACCTCTACTGTTAGCTTTACAACAACTACAGTGTCAACCACGACTCCTACAACAACTCCCACTACTACTGTAACACCACCGTCTACAACAACAGAAACCTCTACTGTTAGCTTTACAACAACTACAGTGTCAACCACGACTCCTACAACAACTCCCACTACTACTGTAACACCACCGTCTACAACAACAGAAACCTCTACTGTTAGCTTTACAACAACTACAGTGTCAACCACGACTCCTACAACAACTCCCACTACTACTGTAACACCACCGTCTACAACAACAGAAACCTCTACTGTTAGCTTTACAACAACTACAGTGTCAACCACGACTCCTACAACAACTCCCACTACTACTGTAACACCACCGTCTACAACAACAGAAACCTCTACTGTTAGCTTTACAACAACTACAGTGTCAACCACAACACCTACTACCACTACTACTGTAACACCACCGTCTACAACAACAGAAACATCTCTTGCTAGCTCTACAACAACTACACGGTCAACCACAACTCCAACAACAACTAACACGACTACTGTAACACCACCATCTACAACAACAGGAACATCTACTGCTAGCTCTAAAACAACTACAGTGTCAATCACAACTCCTACAATACCTACTACCACTACTACTGTAACACCACCATCTACTACAACAGGAACATCTACTGCTAGCTCTACAA